TTTATCTCTCCAAGGTTGCATAAATCTTGGTTTTGGGGGGTAGAAAAAGGCAAGTGTCAATGTCCACACTGTTCTTTATCCCCCTGTCCATGCCCCTCTAGGACTACAGGATTTCCAGGGACTGGATGTCAGCTGTTTCCCAAACATAGTGACCAGCACTGATGTCTGTCAATTCATGAGAAAGCCCTCCGATATAATCCTGCCTATAGGGAAACAGCCAGAAGAGTAAAACGGAAAGATGTTTTCCTTTCTGTTATATACTCAATCACACTGGGTCTCCAGAAAGGATTTCCCAAATCCATTGTACAGCATCGCATGGTAGATGAACAAATATATACATTCCAGGGAGATGTGTTAAAGTTTTCTGGTTGTTACAAAGAAATATACTCCCATTCTCCTACCCTCTTCACCCCATTCTTATGTCTGTGTGGTACTCATAACCTTAGCAAATTTCCCTGGCAGGAGAGATACAGTTTATATAACCTCTGAAGTTGGTTCTCAAGAAAAGACCCAGCCTTACAAAAAGAATGGTGTTTCCTGTGGTGGCACTGAATAGCTTCACTGTTTTCTCAGGAAGATGGTCACAGGTCCACTTGGTATTTAATCAATCATAGTCCCAAATAAATCAAGCAGAGACGTACTGTAAAGAGTTCACATTTGAATTGTTATGGACAATCTTCTGGCAAGAATTAAAGGTCCAAAGTTAGGACTATTTTTCATACAAGAAGATTAGGCGTCATTTGGCTGACAAGTCTTTCAATGATCTCAGCTTTTACTTCTTTAGCTACAGTGAATGGTATTACCACCATGAACCATATTTCAGGGGAGTATTTTAATCAGGGGCACTTGGATCTGTGAAGGTATGTCAACCCAGGTCCCAAGGGGAATTTACAAATCTTGGGAATAGTTTCATTGAAGAATTGGAGCCATATTACTTGAATCAAAGGGAGATATCTAATATTCTAAAAAGTTGAAATAGCTCTGATAGGCTTACAAAATTGATGTTATTTCAATTCATCAGTAAAACAATTTCGATGAGCAAGATTGAAGATTGAGACAACTGACATTTTAAAAACATGTCCTTCACATTCTTTGACCCTCCTTCTATTAAGAGGCAGGTCTATGTCTCCTCCCCTTAAATCTTGTCTTTATGACTGCTTGGCTAATTGAATTCAGAGGAAAAACTACTTGCTAGTTTTCATACCCTCGTTTGAAGATAGTGAAAACTATCTATCTCTTGGGATGCCCATGCTTAAGACCCAACCACCATGTTGGAAGGAAGCCCAAGCAGCATATGAAGAGACCCACATGGAGAGGAAGCAAGGTCCCTAGTCCATAGCTTCACTGACTCCCTAGATTATAGTTAGCACCAACTTGCCAGGCATGTGAGTGAAGCATCATGGGACAGTATCTGCCAGCTCCAAGTCAAGCTTCCTCAGCTGTCCCCCATATTGAGTAGATGAGTAGGCCCTGTTAAGCCCTGACAAAATCGCATTTTCATGAGCAAAATAAATTATTTGTTGTTGTTTTAAGTGATTAAATTTTAGAGTGGATTATTGTGAAGCAAAATATAACTGATACAGTCAACTAGCCAGAGGATTTTTTTATGCAATCCAAAGGCTAAAAATGATTACTCCTTAATCCAGTATCAATTTTGAAATTGAAGCAAGCAGATTCTTACGAGAGGCTATACTTTACAGCAAACATAAATTTGATGTTCATGTTTGCAACAAGCTCTATTAAATGAATATCCTGCAGTCTCAAAATTAAAAATAATGATATTAATAATAAAAACATAGCACTAGTGGCCAATTCAAATAATAATGTTCTTCCTACCATGGGAGTTACCTTTGACATGTCTGCCTTCAATTGCATGTCTCTCTATGATGGACTGTTTTAATGGTTTAATTTCTCCGGAACATTATATTATATGGAGAGAATTGTGATTACATGCCATAAAGATATTCAGCATGGGACAGAATACATCAACATAAAACCTCACACAATTTGAAGTAAATGAAACACTAAAGGATCTGACAAATTTACTGCAGCACATCTCAAGCACTTACAACAAAGATATATTCATTATTTTATCCATTCACTCAAAAAATACATAATTTGCTTCAACCAAGTATCAAGCACCTGCTAGTGCTAGACATAAAGAAGAAATAATAAGGTACAGTGGATAACAACAAATAACGATGATTAAACTCTGTCTTTCTGTCTTAGTCTGCTGTGTGTTGCTTTAACAGAGTCCATGAGACTTTAGACTGGATAATTTTATAAAGAACAGAAATTTATTTCTCATGGTTCTGGAGGCTGGGAAGTCCAAGATCAAGGTTCAGCTGTCTGGTGAGAGCTGCATCCTCTGGAGAGAAGAAACACTGTGTCCTCACATGGCAGAACAGCAAGTGAACAAGCTACCTGAACACTGACCACTCAGGTGAAGCCTCTTTTGTAACTGTCTTAATCTCATTAACAAGGAAGGAATCCTCATGGCTTAATCTCCTCTTAAAGTCCCCACCTCTTAATGCCATACACTGCCAACTTGGAGGGGACACATTTGAACCATACCATTATCTGCAAAGGAAAACCTTGTTCTTTTTTCATCTCAGTTGAATTTAAATATCTTTCACTCTTGTCTGTAAAGCATTTCTACCTGTATACATGGGGAAACTGGGTTAATGGAGCTGAAACCACGTACCCTCCCCATCCACAATGGGGTAGAAATCACTATGGAGACTCACACACTTCCATGGGATTAAGGGGATGAATATCCTTGAGAAAGCAGTATGTATGTTGGCCAGTTCTTTATAGGCTAGCTACTGTGGTATATCTGTGATTTTTGCTTGTGTGGTGTTTGCCTCACTTCTACTAACAGCACCTTGCTTCTCCTTTCAGAAACCACTGTCTGTGCATACATTTGCTGCTGCCCGGTTAGCCCACGCAGCACATTCCACTCTGCTCTTCCTGGCTACAATAATTGACTTGGAGTTGAGTGGTAGATACAAGTCAAGAAAATTTGGACATTCTTCGTGTCTACCAGGAGTGAGAACTTCTCTTTCACCTGGGGTTGCAAAGCTAAAGGGGATAAGTCTGAAGTTCACTGGGCAGCCATGAAGGACCTGTCTGACTTTGAGTGAATCTAATGCAGAAAGAAGCAGAACAGAGACAGGAAGAGACTCATTAGGCACTGGAGGTAGGTGCAAGCTACATGAGCTAATACTTCCTTCCTGTTTGCTGAAACCCAAATGTCAGGGTTTCTGCCATTCATAACCAAAGATTACTAAAATAGTTAATCTAATAGATGAACCTGTTTTTGGATAAGAAATGGTAGGTAGAAAGATATTACTTGAAGGAGGAGGTTAGGGAGAGCCCAGAGTCAGAGGCCTTCCCAGTGAGGGCCTTCTGGTAAGCCTAAGACAAATTAGGAGGGCCCTAAAGATGCCTCGCTATTAAATTGGAACTAATGGATCAACACTCATGTGCACATATGGAAGTAAAACTCAACGGAAATCAAGCAAGTGGGAGGAGGGAATGGGTAAATTCACACCTAATGGGTATCACACACTATCTGGGTGATTTATACACTTATAACTTTGATTCAAACTGTACAAAAGCAATTTATGTAAACAAAATGTTTATACCCCCATAATATTCTGAAATTAAAAAAATATGTTATAGATTTTACCAAACAGATTTTTAACCTCCTTTGTCAAATTGAGTCATAAGAATTATAAACTTTTTGATACTTTTGTAAATGAGATTAATTCTTAACTTTTTTCTAAGATAGTTGATTATTGCTATACAGAAATGCAAATGATTTTTGCATATTGATTTTCTGAACTGCAACTTTGCTGAATGGGTCTATTAGTCCTAACTTTTTTTTTTTTTTTTGCTATTGTTTTGGGGTTTTTTTATATATAAGACGTGCAAGCAGAGAGAATTTTACTTCTCCATTTCTGATTTGAATGTCTTTTTTTTTCTTGTCTGATTTCTCTGGCTTAGTCTTCCAGTACTGTGCTGATTAAAAGTGATCAGATAGGGCTTCCTTCTCTTGTTCCTAATACTGGAGAAAAAACTTTTGAGTCTTTCACTGCTGAGCATAATGGTATCCCAGGTCTCATTTTATATGGCCTTTATTATGTTGAGATGCACACTTTTGATTGTGTATTGCTTTGAGGTTTTTATGTGTTTTGATTTTGCAAATACTTTTAATAAAACTTTTGAAATGATGAAAAAAAGAGAGATGCCTGTGGTCCGGCACCATGGAGCTGACAAGCAGCAGTGGAAATGGAATGTATAGGGTGATGCCCAGAAATTCTTTTCAGTTGTGCTTTACAACTGTGCATGCACTGGAACTTAATTTTTTATAAAGATTTACATGTTTTAAAGCAGGCGTCCTCAAACTACAGCCCGTGGGCTGCATGCGGGTGTTTTTGCCTGTTTGGTTTTTTTTTTACTTCAAAATAAGATATGTGCAGTATGCATAGGAATTTGTTCATAGTTTAATAAACTACAGTCTGGCCCTCCAATGGTCTGAGGGACAGTGAACTGACCCCCTGTTTAAAAAGTTTGAGGACCCCTGTTTTAAAGTTTACAAGTAGCACTCACACCACCATTTCAATTAATCCTCACAACCACCCTGTGAGAGTCATCATTATCCCACATCAGACATGATGAGAAGCCCAGAAGTTGAAGGGACATGGATTTGGAGCTAAGTTGCCTGACTCCACTATTTCATCCCTGTGGAAGAAAACTTAGGTAATCTTGATTGTAACTTCACATGAAAAGCATTATCTCTGGGGGGAAAAAAGAAAACATCAAGGAATCTGATACCGATATGTTTTAGAAATTTATATGGCATGAAGAGGTAGGAATTAAAAATTGCCTGTTTGAGATGGCAAGCCGAAAAGAAAGTCTCCTCTCTTTTTTATTTCATCAGAATAATCAGATAATATTTTTTAAACTCTTACTCCATGTGTTTACCTTTCTGGGCATACGACCTTCTCCCCTCTTCAGGCGGGACTAGGCAGCAGGGCACAGGCAGCACGGCGGGAAGGGCTGACACTGAGAGGGGAGATGGGACCATCAGAGCAGTCAGAGGACAGCGTCAAGTACCCCTCTGATAGACCAGTGAGGAATGTGCAGCAAGGCAGGGCGCTGGAGAGGTGAGCATTGCCACAGAGGAACACTGTTTCTATGTCAATTTTGCCTCGTTTAGTCAAGAAGCTGGCCAGGAGGCTAAAACCATGGTTTGTATAAGGAAAGTCCTAGGAAAACAAGAAGAGAACATGAAAGAAAATCCATGAGGTATTGTGGGGAATGGACCGACTACAGGGCTGTGGGAAGGAGATAGTTGGAAGTCAGAACCTGAGGTCCCCACCCTGGGAGTGCAGTGCACAGCCTGGAGGGCCCCTGGACGGGCTGAGAGGGACGCTCGGGGCAGAGGAGCTCCTGCCCACACTGTTCCCTGATGGGATGAGGCTCAGCACAGTTAGGAGGATGGAGAGCAGAGTAAAGCAGGTAGGGGGTTTCCGTGTCATGTCTAACCTCTTGCAGTTTCTGCGTAGCATGGACAGAAGGTTGAGAACTTTAGGGCCTGTTAGGCTGGCACTAGTGCAGAGGGCAGGACAGGGCATTGTGTAGAAGCTGTAGGGGACACATCCTGGGCCGGGCATGCAAGGCAGAGGTGGGGAGCCTCAGAATGAGTTACATGTCCAGGAAAGCCCAGAGCAGAAGGGTCTGTCTGCAGAAAGAGGCCCTGGACCAGTACAAGTTAAGAGACAGCAATTAAGAGGCCATGGGCCACAGATGTCAACAGGAAAGGAGCCTAACTCTTCCAAGCAGGTGCTAGCCACACACCAAGGTTATGAGAGCCCATCCCCCATTACCCAGACTCTACCTTACAAAGTTCCAAGAAAAGGGAAAACATTTGAAAGTCTAAGCAATTATCCCAAAGCATTGATTTAACCATAAGGACATAGTTTAAGTGATAGGACCAAATTAGGCTGAAATTAGTGTGTATGTGGGGAGGGGCAAGAGTTACCACCCAGTAAGTTGGAACTTCCTGAGGATTTTGTACCCCATTAATCAATACCTTTAATAAATGCCTACCTAGGTCTCAATGTTTTCTTATTCCTTCTACCACAGAGTGATTGGATTTCTTTTTTTGGAACACTGCTCCCCAGGCTTGCCTGATCATAAAAATGTCCTAGAGAATTTATTAAAAATACAGATTCTTGTATTTTATATACAGTCCCAACAGACCTACTGAATTAAAATCTTTAAGGGTGGGTCTGGGAACATGCACCCTTTGCAAGCATTTCTGGTGACTCCTGTGCTCAATTCAATACATGCTATTCAACATGTTAAATATAAGCCATAAGACCTTTACGTTGTCCTGCCTGGCAGGCTGCTTCTGGCTATGCTTGCAACTGTCAGGGAAATATATTGTTACTCTCCTTGAACCATGATTCTTGCTGATTATACGTCTTTCTCCTTAAATGTTTAGGGACTCAGGCATTATCACTTCATTATTATGCTTATACATAGCCAAATTCAATTCTGTCAATTTGGTTAAAGATTATAAGGCCTTTAAGTCGGGCAGACAAATCGACAGCTTGGATGTCTACATTCCGTACTTGGACCCAGCCACTGGGATTGGTTTGGGCTGGGTGCAGCCAGTCAGAGCAAAGCTAACAATTTGCATTCCCTGCTGAGGCAAAGGATGCCCTTCTCTACCCCAGATGTGAACAGGGACACATGTATTCCTGTTTGCTGGGATATTCATCACAGTATTTGGGGGAAAGCACCAGAGTTGAACATGAATCTGCATGTTCCACTAGCTCACTGAGAAAGTTTGTAATCACTACCCCAGACAGAAAGCAGGAAACTATGTTCATATCAGACACAGTCTGAATTTTAGAGAGAATAAAGGTATTGTAGCCAGGAATAATGGTGATTTCCAGCAAAGACAGAGGATGGCATCAAAAAGGGCATGGCTTGTGGCCAAGTGAGGAAAATTCTGTGCTCATACAGAAAAAGCCTTTCTCTTCCAGCCTGTGAGTCATCAGGGTGGGCCTCAGGAGAGCAGTGCAGGGGTGTGGAGTCAAACGGAGACCAGCTGGACACAGCAGGCCCTCCAGACGTGGACTATTTGGAAAGCGGGGGACAGAAAGATGAGTAAGACATGGTCCCTGTTGTCCCACAGCCAATACACTTCTCAGCACGCGTGGGAAGTGGCCGTATCTGATCACAGTCCCCTGGGGGCACCGGGGAGGAGCCTCCTGGGGACCCGAAAGTACTCTGAAAATACAGCATTTGAATTTGATTCTGAGAACGAGTAGACTTTTGTTCTTTGGTTGTTTATGTTGTTTATTTTTATTTTATTTTCATATTTTGCTGTATTTTGCCATGTTCCAACAAGGATTTGAAGTAATTTTCAGTTAGGATGTGCCAAGTGGACAAGAGCTTTGAGGGCAGAGAAAATAGCAAGAACTAAGGCATAAAATAATGATAAGTGAACACAACTAGAGCAGTGAGGAGAAAGGAGTGGAGTGGGGTGGTGAGACTGGTGGCAATGACATTAGGAGGTGATTCTCTCTCCAGGGTCAAGGAGATGAGGGTCTGGCCCATGGTCAGTGGACATGGGAAAGGCAGCCTCACAGGGGGAACATTTTAAAAAACAAAATCTTCAAGATTGGCCACAAATAGGATATGGTGGGTTAAAGAAAGAGGGAGTAGTTGAGAGTAGCTCTGAAGTTTCTAGTTTTGGTGCAGACTAGATGGAAAGATAAGTAGCAAAGATGGAAAATATGGGACAATTGTCAGGTCAAAGAAGACAGACACTGTCTTAGTCTGTTTATATTTCTGTAACAGAATACCTGAGACTGGAGAATTTATAAAGAACAGAAACTTATTCTCTCATAGTTCTGGAGGATGGGAAATCCAAGATCAAGGCATCGTCATCAGGGGACAGCTTTCTTGCTGTGTCCTCACATGGCAGGAGGAGGAAGGGAAAGAGAGAGCAAACCCACTCCCACAAACGCTTTTTATAGCAGCATCAATCCATTCACAAGGACAGAACCCTAACACCTCCCCAAAGCCCCTGCTTCCTAACACTGTTGTGCTGGAGATTAAGTTTCTAACACATAACTTTGGGCTGACATATGCCAACCATAGCAGACACCCACATAGACACAAAGCAGCTACTTCAGAGCCAGTATGTTCAGGACTAGAAAATATAGGCCATGTAGGAGAAACATCTCAGAACAGATACCAGTCACAGCAAGGAACTTAAGCGCCAAACTCAGGAGGGAACAGAACAAGGTTAATGCCTACTGGAACACAAAGGCTTCAAATATAAGATGAAAATAGGGTAGGAAATGAATTTACAACAGGCTTAAGACCTAGGGACTGCTTTTCTGACGACGCAGACACGTCCTTTTATCCTATGCTTCCTTGAGTTTTGGTGTTATGATTGTTTTGTTTTGTGTTATCTGACTTTGAGCAGAAAATGCGCTGGTAAATGACAGGGTGCCAACAGGCTATGGGGCGGCAGTACTAGTCTCACCGTCTCTCTTCAGAGAGGGGCCGGGAAGTGGGACATGGCAGTGGGAAATGATGAACAAAGCAGCTTGGCCCCTGAAGCCCAAGGGTCAGTTCAGGGGCCGTGGGAACTGGCCCAAGCTGCCAAACACCTAGTGCTTTCACCAGTGAAAAGACTGAGCCCACCCAGCCCAGAGCTCTGTGGACTGCACACACCAAGCCCCTGTCCCAGAGTAAAGCACAAAAACAAACTGCGAGCATGCCTCAGATTTACTGCTGAGCACACAAACTGCTTTAGAGGAAAACAGCAGTATTTTGTGTAGGAAATTGGCAAGACCCATGGTGTTGACAGTGTGCTGAGATTTTATGTTTGGCCTTTACTGAGACTGAACTTACTTGAGTTTTCAGCCCCTCTGAAGCGTGATAATGAGCACATATCACGAAGGCCTCTGATAATGGAAACCTTTTCTCTGTTATGTCCTCCAACTGTCACTTGAACTCACTGGTAAGATTTCAGCAGACAATAGTGAGACTGTCAAGCAAAACAGTAACTCTTTTAGTGATTCCAGAGAGGTCTCTGGATTTAGGAGTCCAGGAGTGGCAGCAGGGACACTGAGGAAGAATGGCAATGCCATTCTTGGAGCAAGACATGCCATCACAAAGAAATTCTCCTTTCTGGAAGAAAAGGGGTATCTCTGGGTGATACTTACCTGCCAAATACTTAATAAAATCATGGGTTAAATCTATAGGACACAATTACATCACTACCTTTGTCAATTGTACATTGAAACATTTGAAGCCTAGGCAGGGTCTTGAATGCACAAGACACAAGAAGCAATGCAGAAGCATTGTAAATAGCAGAATAATGGGAAATTGTTTGCTTCAGGATGAGAAACACTTTAAGAGAAACGGACATCAACATGGGTTTTCTGTAATCACAGAGCACCAACTCCAGATAAGAGCATTAATTCTGAAAGGGTAAGCCTTTAGGTGAAGCCCTGGTCCAGTGGAGTTTAATACTCTCCTTCCCCATCTCCATCAATGCCAAACTTACATCTGTTGGTAGTAAAACAGGAGGGAGGGATATTTAAAATATTTAATAAATAAAATGGCAAGATCTGACCAATCAAAATGGAAGTGGGAGTCTAAGGCTCTGTAGAGAGTTGTTTCAATAGTCTGAGCAGGAAGATCTAAGAGGCCAAACTAGGTAGTGACAATGGGAATAGGGAGGAGGGTCTAGATGTGAAGGACATTATGCAATGTACTCAGTAACCCATGGAAGCACTTGGAATGGGAGTCACAATCCAAGATGATGGCAAAGCTGAGAGTCTTAACTCCAGGGAGAATGGTGGTACCCTTGACAGAAATGAGTAATTCAGAAAAGGCTTGGGTTGGGCTCCAGTTAGGGGACAGGGAGGAGAAAGGCCAGATGGACTAGGAGGAAAACCAAAGGGAGGGTTGCAGCAGAATCGCAGATGTCAGACCAGAGCTGATGAGAGAAATCAGAGATGGAAACAGAGAATCCACTCAAACAGACTTAAATTTTTGCTGAGTATAAAAAGATGTAGCTTAGTAGCTGCTCCAGATATTTCCATAGGTGGATGGGGACCCTGGTGCTGATGCTCACTTGCTCATTTGCTGAGGCTTCTGGTCCCTCTTGTCCCTGAGGGAAAGGTGAGTGAGGTACACGGAGCAGTGGCTCCTAAGTCACCCGACTGGCCAC